AGAGGAGCTGGTGCTGGGGAGTTCAGTGTCAGTCACACATCGCAGCAGCTCAGCGCTGCAGCCACGTGGGGGAAAGAGGAGTCACCCGTGGGGGGAAAGAGGTGTCTCCTGGCCCCACCTGTCCCCTGGAATTGTGCAGTGTGAGCATGACTGGGTGTTGCTGCCCCTCGAATCCCACCTCCCCTGTGCGGGACCCTTGTCCAAGGAGGGGGACCCTGCGTGGACAGTGCCTGTCAGGCCACGTGCTGAGATGACAGCACTCAAATGTTCTCAGCAAATCTCCTCTCACAGAGACAGCCGAGGGGGGGTTGGACACCCACAGCTGTGCAGGGACACCCCCAGGAAGGAAAGAGCCCACGTCCTGAAAGCCTTTTTTTTTGTGGTTTACATGACAGGGCACCAAGATTTCCCACACCTTAAACGCGTGTCAGATATTTCGGGAGTCCTTTGCTGAGAAATTCAAAGAGCATTTGAAACGTAGAAGCAAATGCCAAACCCTGCTCCGGACTGTGCCACACACATGGAAAAGAGCATTTCTGCCTTCTGCGCTACAAGCCGGGAGAGGGGACGGGCGAAGGGAGGGCGGCATCTGGGCTGTGAGGAAGAGCAGAAGGAACAAGAGTGATCCCTGGCGGCCGGGAGAGACGGGCAGCTCCATCACAGCTGCTGATCCCAGCTCCGGGAAGGACACCGGGAGCTCCTGAGACACCACCGCACCCTCCTGGGGCCGGGCAGGGTCGCCTCCTGCTCTTCCCTCTCTCGGATCTCTCCCGGCAGCTCCGCCGTGGCCAAAACCCTCATAGAAAACCCCGGGAGGTGCTGCTCGCTCCTCAGGGAGGATTTTGACTGAGCAGCGTGAAAAAGATCCTCCGGGATGAGAGAAAGATCCTCACTGAAACTCCTCTTGTACCACAAACAGCAACACGAAGCACCTGTGAAAATATTTATACTGCGCTGGGTTTCGTTGTTTGTTTTTCCCAGAGAAAAGAGAAATTTAAAATATTTATACTGGGTTTGTTTTATTTTGTTTTATTTTGTTTTTTTTTTTTTTCCAGAGGACAGAGATACTGAACATGTGTTTGCCTGAGAACACAGGGCAAAACTGACCTATCCAAAAACTGTCCAGTTTGGACAGAGACTGAAGCAGAGGTTTTCCACAAGCACTGTATTTGATGTCAGTAAAACAATTAAGACCAGGCTGGAATAATCAATGATCCTGACATGCAAGTGCTGATTGTGCTGAGGAACAAGGAAATGGAGAAAGCGCCTGGGAAGTCCTGGCAATTCCCAGCTCTCCCCATCAGGTGTCAGCTGTTCCCAGCTGGCAGATCCGATGGAATCGCGGACTTGTCTGTCCTGCTCCCAAACCCCGGCCTGGCCCTGCTCTGCCCCAGGAGGGCAAACATCGTGTCACCGCGTTACCCGAGTCTGAGACTCTCATTAAAGCAGGGCTCACATTTTCCTAAGAGGCCCAAAGACAGTAAACTGGGCTAATCCTGTCTGTAGCTGAGCGGAATTAGTTGCTGGTAGCCTGTCCAGCAGAAGTACGAGAGCATGTGATTAAAATAACAGGCATATAAATAATAAATATGAAATTATAGAAAATCATGTAAGTGTATAGAAATTCTAAATGAAAATGTTATCCCCAATCTACAGCAGTTTCAGCCCTGTCCAGGCCCCCTGCCCTGCATCAGGGGTGGGCAGTGTTCCCTCTGCGCCCACCGTGCCGTGGGATCCCGACACATTCTGCTTTTCACCACACGGGATATTTGGAGGTATTTGGAGGTGCGGGAGCTGAGAACTGCCCGGCCCTGGGCTGCGGGTGCTCTCTAGAGGGCACTCGGCTCCCACCGAGGGCAGAAATGAGCATAAAACCCGGACCCGGGAGAAGTGGCATCTGCGGGACGTGCCGGGGACATCCCTCTGCGGGAAAACGCGGCACACGCTGTGACCCGCACATCTCGCTCCAGCTCCACCGGTATTTAATGGTCTCACCCCGATTCCCTGTGTGACAGTTCAGGGACGGGCTCAGTGTCCTCCCCGCCACCTGGGGACCCCCGGTGTCCTCCCTGCCCACCCCCCCTCCCCCGGGGTTGTGCCGAGCGGGGGCGTGCGGGACGGATGCCAGGCCGAAACTCCCTCGCTGGTTTGCTAATACCTGTTTATGTTTCCAGCGGCACCGGGGTTATTTTGCATCACCGTCGCTGGGCGGGAGCACAGCGAAACTCGGCGGCCCCGCGGGGGCTGCAAATGTGCCGTAATGACCCTTTGCTAAGGAGGGTCTTGCCAGTGGGGCAGCATCAGAGACCCCAGAGTCAGCTGGGGCAGGGGCTGCTTAGGCCCAAAATGCAGCAGTTCCCAACCCAGGGGTTTGTGCTCTGAAATCTTTTAGGGCTCTGACTCACCTAATTGCTGTTCCTATCACAGCCACAATCACTCCCTTGGGTGGTGGAGCTTTTGAAGGTGCCCTTTAAGGTTTCATCACCACTCGTCTCTGCAATAGGGAGTGAGTAACAGATGGGGCAGAACGGAGGCAGGAATTGCGTCTTCTCCTACAGGAGGGATGTTTGCTGGATCGGGCACCCCTGGGAGGGGCAGCACATCACCCCCCCCCCCATGCCGAGTCCAGCTTTATGACCACTGGGGGAACGTGCTGTGTTTGGAATATTGGACAAAGGGGGGCAGGTTCCAGGGATATTCCCTGTGACCACACACCTCGGGGTGTGGGTGGACACCAAGAATTACACTCCGTGTTTCAGAAGAGAGCAGGAGAGACAGAGGGACTTACTTACTCTCTCACTTCACAACATGTTTTAAAACCCATCACTAAAAAAAAAAAAAAAAAAAAAAAAAAAAAAAAAAAAAAAAAAAAAAAAAAAAAAAAAAAAAAAAAAAAAAAAAAAAAAAAAAAAAAAAAAAAAAGAAGAAAGCCTGAATATGTTTTGGCATCAGGGAATCACAGAATTATTTGGGTTGGAAAAACCCTCTGAGATCCTCGAGGCCAACTCTTCACCCAGCACTGCCAAAGCCACCACTTGCAGATGGTGTTTGTAGAATTTCACTGAGCTCTAGAACCACACTGTGTGTTTTGGTTTGTGGCAATGAACCAAAGCCCACTAGTCTTTTGAGAGAATAAACATGAGCGAGCCCTGTTACAACTGATTTAAATCAGATTTTTCAGTTTTTTCTTCCTTTTTTTTTTTTTCACATCTAGCTTTTTGTTGAGATGGGGAAAAAACCCTCCTCATTTAAATTCTAGGGGAGAGGAGAAGAGCTTCATGCTAAGTGTCAGGCAGCTGAACCTCACTGGAAGGAAGAGCGGTGTTCAAATGAGAAGTATTCACCCTCCAACACAGTCACACTGCAGGGCCTGGCTTTCTTCCCCACTGTGGAGAAATCCTACAGGATTATCTGGTGTTGATAAAACTGCCTGATGATAATATAATGGGAGTTAGTTTATAGCATATAATTATGAGAATGAGTCATATTCCCCAGGTAGATATTTCATAGTTTTTCTCTGTGTAGCAACATAAGCAAATTGAATATTCCTGACAAGACCTGACCAGGAGAAGGAAGGATGGAAAAGGATCCCTCTGAAGCACCAAAAAGGGTGGACAACAGTCCAGTCATCCCCCCTGAAATGTGCTCGGTAGCCTCAGTGGTTTGTCCCAAACACATCAGTGTGGGGAGGGTGTAAATGTGGAGCTGAAAAAGGTGGTGCCAGGGTCTGGGAGGAGCCACGTGTGCCCACCCATACCCCAGCCTGGGCTGCCCCCCCTGGCAGCCTCACCACCTTATTGCCACCCACCCAAAGAGAACAGGCTTCGTCCCCCGGCCTCTGCTTCAGCCAACACACGCCTGGGCTGTGTGGAACACACAGCAGTTCTGCCACCGAAGGGCTGGGTGAAATCCTGCCTGTGCTGGGTGAGCCTTTCAGCCTTAAATAGTCCACCCTCC